TTTTTTTTTTTTTTAGTAAATCTTGGCAGGGAGGGGCAAGCCCATTGCCCAGCGTGATATCTCTGCACCACCCTGAGCATCTAGGCCAGATCTGCCCACACAGGTACGCCACCAGGGACAATGCGCCTTATCGCCTCGAAGTGATTTCTGTTTTGCCATCTCTCCTGAACCTGGGGCAACCCAGCATGGGCAGGGCAGGGGGAACCACCCACACCATGCAGGCTGAGATGAGGAGGGATTTGTCCAAGTTATGCAACCTGCAGAGGAGTCAGGGCCCTAGACTCCAGGCAGCTCTCTCCTCCCTACACTACAACACGGCTCAGCAGAACAGAAGCCCAACGCTGCACCAGGTCCCCTGGGTTACTCCTGAGGGCTCTTATGCACGCTTCCACCTGTCCATCCATCCTTCCTTCCTTCCTGCCCTTCCTTCCCTTTCCTTTCTCTGTCCATGTCTCCATCTTTTCATCTGGCCAGAAAACAGAGTTGGCCCTTGGTGTCTTTGGGGGAATCGGCTCCAGGAACCCCTATGGATACCTGAACACTCATGTGCTCGAGTCACATATATGAAATGACATAGTGTTTGCATATAACCAACCCACATCCTCCTGAATATTTCACTTTTTAAAAATGTATTTTCTTTTATTTATTATCACTATTAATTTTTTGTAATTGGCTATAGGCCACGTGCATTCACCAGAGACAGTGAGAAAGCAAGCTGCGAGGTCTGGGAATCGCCCGCGGTCAGCCTTGTGGGAGTCCAGCCTTAACCACCATGCCACCCACTGGCTCCCTGCATATTTCATTTTAAACATTTATTTTAGGGGCGGACAATGGCGCAATGGTTATGCTGCTGAACTGCCACGTAGTCAACTGTGGTTCAAGTCCCTGCGTAAACCGCACATTGGGTATGTGTGTGTGTGCACACCCAAGACCCCGAGAGAAGAATGGAGGAGAAGGACTGCGATTTCTTGCCTTCTGTCTCTCTGTCTCTCTGGCAAGCACACATGCCCTATAGAAATTTTTTTTAAAAAAAAAAAAAAAAAGTTTATTTTATTGGGGCCAGCAGGTGATGTGGTGGTTGAGGTACTGGGCTCTCACATGGCCAATTGCAGTTTGAGTCCCAGACCTAGCGGCTTGTTTTCTCACTTTCCTTTTCTCTCTCTGGTTGAATGAAAAAAAATAATGATAAATAATTTTTAAACAAAAAGTTATTTTATTTATTGAGAGAGAGGGAGGGAAGGAAACAGGTCCCCTTCACAGTATCTTGTCACTCCTCGATCTCCCTCCCCAGTCCTTCAGCTGGTAAGGATCTGAGGCACCTGCCTCTGGTATTTCGGGTCAACTCAGGATCGGAGCCAGCAGTTGGCCATATGGCTTCCAGCTCCTTAGATCAGTGTGCAACTGCCTGCACCACGGTGGCTGGGCCCTCCACATATTTTATGTATTTAGTTTTGCTCTAGGACACATGTGCTCACCAGAGAGAAAAAGTGAAAAATCCCCCCCCCAGGTGGGATGGCCTTG